TTAAAAAAATTTTTTTTTAAAAAAATTTTTTGGGGATTAATATAGGGGGCCATTGTTTTAAAATTCAACCCATTTTACAAGGGAACCATTAGGTTTTTTTTTGCAAAATTTAAAACCTTGGAAATTGGGCCATTTTTTTTAAAACACCCCCGGCACTTTAGCCCAAGTAAGGGTATAGGTATAAAAATCGGACGATATAATCGAAATCAACATTTTCGAGAAAAATAATTATTTGTTTAAAAAATTAGTGAGGGAAAAACGGAAAAAAATATCAAAAATTGAAAAGATTCTTTTGTTCCCTACATCAGAATATTTTAGTCGAAATGGATGAAATTCATAATAATGTTTCTTTATCGACCTATAATTTAAAATAAATGAAAAATATTAGAGATATTTTAGAAAATTAAAATCTCATCAGAAATCAACATCTTATCTAGAATTTGAATTTTGATAATCGAAATCTGAATTGAAAAAAAAAAAATATTGTTTCACAATTCAAAACTTTCGAATATGAAAATTTCGATTAAGTTTCGACTCTTATACTCACCTACATAAATTATTTAAAAAAAGATTAGAAAAAACAGATACCACATAGCCTAAGAAAGACCCTAGCTAAGCACTCTAAGGAACCTTCATTCCTGGAGAGGACAATTAGATAATATTCTAATAACTAAATAAATAAAATTATTATATGATATTCTTATAAATAAATAAATAAATAAATTAGATAATATAAAAATAACATCATATAACAAGATCTATCTTGCTAGGTGCTTCTGAACAAATGTTTTGTGGGGTTCTTGTGACAGGTTTTAATGGAAGATAATTAAGCAATAAAATGTGGGTTTTGGTCCACATCAACCATTATTTATTTATATATTTATTTATTTAATTTTGTCATTTATTATAGTGTGTTCAGGTGCTATGCATAGCTGTGAGATATCAAACATTCTCTCTCTCTCTCTCTAGCAAAGCAAAATCTTAGTAACTACTTATAATTAATTAATTAATTAATTAATTAATTAATTAATTAATTGTTATTTAATTTGTTTGCAGCTTTTAATTTGTAAATATTGAAAGATTAAAAACTGTCAGCTTTATTTGTTATAGATGTTGAAGTAGTGGGGTGGGATTCTATATATAATATATGATGATGCATTTGCCAGCTCTATATAAATAAATATAATGATTATTAATCCATTTTGTGTCCCATTTTAGGGCTGGCAATTAATTTATGATTTTATCATAAATATATTATTTATTAATTAATTATTACCTCATTCATAACATTCTCATTTTGGTGGTAATTACTAATATTTAATTGTGTTAATTTTAACATGCAATGTTTTCAAATACTATAAATGATGTTACATTAATTAATTACCTTGAAAGTGCAAGTCATTAATGAAATGTTACAAAGTGCATTGGGTTTGTATACTCTATAACAACACAAAACTTTTTTTTTTTTTTCAATGAATGAACTGCAGCCAATCGTATAGGTGCACTGGATGAATGTACATTCTCGTATAATAGTTTGCAAACCATATAAGAGACGTGGACCACACTAGACTAACTATGTATAAGTATAACAAACTGGACCTAGCGACCGTTGGCAAAAGAATTTGAATTTGAGTCAATTGACACGAGCTCACTTGTTTTAACCGATAGACCATCTCTTGCGAGATATAAACAACACAAACTTGTGCGTTTGTGTGTAAAACATGGAGTCCATGAATTTTACCGATTTCGATTTATTCTAATTTCTAATTTTCTGGGATTTTTTAGAACATAACTCAAATTAGTTTTTTTCATTTAAAAAACAATCTTGATTTTTTCTAAAATTGTATTCACAGTTAAACATTTACACATTAATAGAGCTGGGACCAATAAAATTCTATTAATTTAATAAAATATTAAACTACCGAATGAAAAATTAAGCACGTCGTAACCTGGAAAAATTATTATTCAAACAAAGTTATTAATTTATCGAGGATACCAATAATCAAATTCAAACACTTTCCTAAAAGTGGCTTGCCCGTGCACTAGACTGGGACCAATAAGTACATGATCACAAGCACAAGGTACCACCACATACCTATATCTTAATTTTCTTGAAAATACAAAAACTAGGTACCCTAAAACTACCATCACTAATTCTCAATCTCATATATAAAATACTTCAAAATTAAAAAAATTAAAATTAAAAATTAAAAAAATTAAAAATTTAAAAAAAAAAAAAAAAAAACACACAGTGTGTGTGTGAACTCAAACCGACAGCAAAGGCCCCATTAACCTATGATTTCTTGAAAAGTACTGCTTCTCCAAACAAGGTATATATTACTTATTAAGTTAGGCATCAATTTTATATATTCATTTAATACTCTTCATTTATATATATATATATATATATATTTATATGCTCTACAAGTATATGTGTGTGTGTGTGTGTGTGTGCATTGTTCAAATTTATATAGTGATATGAGTGATCAGACGTTCATTAATGGTGGAAGAACAAAACCATGGAACATGTACATCACCAGCAGCAGCACTTCTTCTTCTTCGTCGAATAATCCTAGCCCTCCATTAGTATCATCATCATCTCAGGCGACACGTGTCACCATCAAGGAGGCAGCAGCTGATCATAACAACAACTGGACGAGCTTAGGTTCATCGATGAACGCCATTTCCTTCGGATTCGTCGCGACCGCCATTCTCATCTCGATGTTCCTAATCATGGCCATCTTCGAGCATCTGTTCGGCCCCGACGCCGAACCCGGACAAGATTCCGGTCGGGGGGCCCATCCCCGAGATGCTCAAAAGATTCCACCTCCGGAAACAGTGAGTCGACGTCATCGACAACTCGTTGTATATATATTTTCATCGGAATTATTTATTTGATTTTTGTGATGAGTTTGATTTTAATTTGTTTATGGCAGGTGGAAAGAATAACATGTGCATCTGATTACTCAGTAGTGATGCCTGGACAGAAGATTCCTACGTTCATTGCTCAGCCTGCTCCGCTGCCTTGTCCGAGGGAAACCGTTCTTTGGCCACGTCATCATCAACATACTATTATTATAGATTGTCCGTAGATTTTAACGAGGTAAGGTCAAATTACGAAAAAATCCCTTATATTTGGGTAATTAATAGTATCTATCAACTATTAATCTTCTTACACGTTCATCCTTGTTGTGTTAGATTTAGTGGAATCTTCTAGTTTATGTGGAATATTCTTCAGTTTGTACCCGTTTTACCCCATTCGAACTCCACATTTTGAAACAAGTTGATCATAAGATGTGTTTCTTGGCTTTACAAATATCAGATTGTGGTGCATCAGAAACTGCATTTTGCACAAAAACGAGTACAAGCTAGAGAACATTCCACGGAATCTAGAAGATTATGTTGAATTTAACACCTTAAGGGTGGACGTGTAAGAAGATTCGTAGTTGAGCGGGTACCCAAACATGAGGGAGTTTTTCGTAAGTTGCCCTTATCTCAGTGGTGACTGTAATTTACCCTAGATTTTATTAGCCATTATTTTTTTTCTTTTTTTTTTTTAACGAGTCTCTTAGTTAGTTATCTGGTGTTTTGCTTAAATATATTTAGAAATTTATGCAAATGACTATATTTTCGGTTTACCAGTTACTTAGAATCTACCTACTTGGCTGTGTCTCCACATAGACAAGTCATAATGCAGTCCTATATATATTTGTGTCTGAAGCAAATTATTTCATCTATTGCTGCAACATAATAAATTATAAACAGATCATTTCTTACAACTCAGTTTGTCATTAAAAAATGCACCAACAATAACCTGAACCAAATTATGGTTCTGAAATTTCTAATCATGGAATCTACATTTAGAATACACAATGACAAAGTTACAAACAAGTACACAAAAATGAGTTAAAAAAAAAAAAAAAAAACCAAAAAAAAAAGGCAAAACCGCAGTTCAACAAGTACAGTTTTCATCACCACGTTCATATAAATCGACAATAGACGCTGCGCCAATTCTGTACAAGCGTATTATTCTTCACGAAGTCAATACGCAGCCAATCAATCACGCTCTAATAGTAAGAGTCTTTGTAGCACAATCTTTGTTAGGTCACTCCAAAATCGCTACACTTTCTTCGATCTTTTATTTATTCCAGCAAATCATCATCGGGTTGAACGGCAGTAAGCAGCGAGTACTTAACCCTAAGAGAAATCTTCCCCTTCTCAACCAAAAGCCTCGCTCCCGAAACCACCCAATAACCCGGCGGCTCCTGCGGGCCCCGCGTCATCTCCGTCACATCGACAAACCTCAACAGCTTCGATGCTTGCGCAGGCACAGGCGGCCCCCCAGGGTAGATAGCCGAGTTTATATTCACATCACCCGGCAGCTGAGGTGGCGGCGTCGCTTTACTGACAGCTGTAAAACGATGACTGATCAGGGTTGAAATAAGCCCAGACTTACGCGCCAATGCGGGTGATCCCTCCCACTCGTCCTTGACCGGAACAGCACCTGTAACTGTGGAGAAGCGGAGGCGGAGGAAGAGAATATTTTTGAACCCGTAATTTTCGACCTGTAGTTGTGCTCCGGTGACTATGGAGAGATCATCGTCGGATTCTATAGGGGCTGTGCATACGTGGGAGAAGTTCTTCCATTGGACTTTTTCGTAATATTTGCGGTCGTAGGGTTCGTGGGGATTATTATTGCCGTTTGGGTCGTCGGTGAGTTGGAAAATGTTTGGGAGGGAGGAGAGGTGTTGTAAATGTATGGCTAAACGGTTGCTTCTTTTGCCTTCGAGGTACAATCGAAGACCAGTAACTGGCCTCTTACCTACATCAACCTGATATGTATAAAAAAAAATTAAATAAATAAGGATAATATTAAGCATGAAATTCAAAATGGACAAGGAAAAAAAAAGAAATCGAGCAACAGAGAAGTTTTACCACCGAGGTATTTACGAAGAGTTTCGGACCCATAAAACTAAATTGCAACGAAGCCGCGCTTTGCTGCTTTCTTTGAGGACCAAGTGGAAGATCGCTGAATACAGGTGCCCACTGCCTCGGCAGCTGGAATTCAAGAAACTGATGAAGCTCTTCAACTGGCGGCTTATCTGCATACAAACACGTCTTATATTATTTACAGTTGGGACCATCAAAATTCTATTAATTTAGCGAAATGTTAACTTATCGATAAATTAATAATTATTAATTTATACATTAATTAATAATTTATTAATTTACGAAATAATTTTTATTATTATTTTCAATAAATACATTTATTTTTTATTTTTTTACGTATATATTATTCATTGTACGTATATATTATTCATTGTACCATTAGTTCAATGTAGTATAAAACCCGTTTCTCGAACGGAACCTTAAAGCAACAATGGTATTGAACAATTTTCTATTGAGTTGTGAGAAAACTATACCAAAAGTTCGAACTATGTTAAGAAAAGTAAGGACAAATTGATGGTGATGTGAACTTCAACAAAAAAACAAACGACGATTAAATTATATTTTATCAACCCTTTCGTAGATCGATAAAATATGTACTGTACTATGTAATTTGAGAATTATTTTTGTGCATTATTAATTTATATAATATATGGGGTTCTTAAAATTTTTGAATGTGTATTATCTTATAAATTTAGCAAATTATTAATTTAGCACATTGTCCCCGAGTCGGGACCGGGAAAAAATATTATTTAAGCGAGGTTATTAATTTATCGAGGTCCTACTGTATTATTATTTAGGACTGTCTTAATTTTTTTACGATAAGCAGAGAAATTACTTACAGCGCAAATAAAGATTAATGGCATGACTCAAATAGCCACTTCCAGGAACACCGTTCAGTAGGGACGTTATCGGGATAAAAGACATTGAAATAACATCAGGCTCCAATAGAACTGTTTGCATCCACTCGTTGTGGGCCAGATTTGCACTATCAATCCCACCTCTCCTTTTGCAGATGCTAACAGTGTCCTGTTTCTCAAAACGAAAATTCGTAAGTACGTAAAATGGATTTTCCGTAACTGTAAGCGCAAATGCTTATATAAAACATACATCTTTATGCGAATAAGAACTTGATGTGCTGGTATCTGCAAATCGGAGGCGCGACTCCCTCACTTCAATCTGAACAATAAGGAAATGACAGAGAATTTAAAATAAACCAAATAAAGATATAAATAGATCGAGAATGGATCCAACGAAAAAACCATAAGAATGTAAGCAGATCGAACTTTTGAGAGTTGTATGATTTTATTGATTAAAAGGAAAGAACTAAAAACGATTCCAAACCTTCCCACTCTGGAATATGTGCTCGGAATCAGGCTCGGTTTGTCCATTTGCATCCAAAAACCTCTTATCTGCCATTGATTTCAATCTTTTCTGGACATCAGTTGGTTGAAGTGACGAAGAATGCTGTTGTTTCATGTAAACTACATCTTTGCCACCCATCTTTAAACCAACAATGACATGAGTCCCGAATTTATTAATAAACCTGAGATAAAGACAAAATGTTATCTCTACCACATATAACCCTAATGATTAATACAACAGACGCTAACAAGAAAAAAGAACAACAATTGAAAGAAAAACGATTTTTTTTATTCAGAAAGGAACTTTCGTATGCAGCGACAAAGCGAATGTTAGATTTGAAGCACGACATCGATCAAATTTAGAGAAGGCAAACGAAGCCATACCTTGCCAATGCTGCAGGCTGCCACGAAGACGGAACTTCTTTCTTTACGTGATCTTTAAGCACCATCTGAGACTTTTCTAGCGCAACTGTGTAGAGGGTTATAAACATTCCATCGAAAGCAAGAGTTTTGGTAGACGCTGCATCTTTCTGCCAACAACCAGAAAACTCGAACATAGCATTGAAGAGCCCCGAAGGAATTTTGCCGGTCAATGATAGCTCTTGATTTAATTGCTCCGACATCTGGAACGTAAATATACACAGGGGTAAATTTCTGGTTTGATCAAACTATATATACACAATGTAAAACATTGAATACTAAAATTCCAATATTTGTACAAATCAATTGAAGGAATGCAGATATATGAACTTCATGATTTCGTTTCCAAAGCAAATACTTCATCGCAAAAGCAAGTAAAAGACGAAAAGAGATACCTACGCAAAAGCCTACACAAGTAAGTGAAGACGTCGATAAAGAAATGGACTAATCAGAAACAACCAAACCTGCTGGAAAGTCAGGACATCCGAACGAAACCGAGTCCGCTCTCCTTTATCACATTTGATCGATTTCGAAACATTCGGAACCAAAATTCCACCCGGAAGAACAATCTCTCGACCCTGTTCGTCATCAACCTCAATCAAACGCGAATCGCCTTTACAATACTTTAGCCTAAGATCTAAGGTAATATCATATCCACGACCAATCGCGTGAATGGCTACCTTAGCCGCTTCTCCAGCAGGTAGCTTAAGCGCCATATTTCACACACACACACACACTCCTATCTCAAAACCCACATTCAGCCCAATCAGTTCTAAATCCTATCCAACAAAATTACGAATATCGAACTCTCGAGTAAGATCAGAGCTACATACAGAAAAAAAAATCAATTCTTTAAGCTCCAAAACTCTAAGTATCAATCAAACTGAACTCCTGAACACTCGGAAACTTGCTATAATGTTAATTTTTCCAGCATCAAATTCTTCAACAACTCGCACAAAAAAAGAATTGATGATTCAACCGCAGAAACCCTAGGAATTCGCCACAATTACAAAATTAATAAATTACAACCAGCTACTGGAAACCTTCAAACCCTAGATTTTTTTTTGTAATGGGATTGGAGCGAAGGTTCAGATCTAGAGCGAGCTTCTTTCTGTTTGAGTGGGGAGCCAGCATAAAAACGCAACGCATAACAAAAAAAAAAAACGATTGTGTATGTATGTAATCATGTATGCATACAGTAACACATGTCGCTAATCTGATTGGGTTTTTCTATAAATATAGATACAGTTTCTATATATATATATCGATGCACAAATGTGGAGATGGGGGTTGGATTTCATTAACAGATGAGATTTTGAGTGGCGATCACTGATTTATTTGGGTATTTTTTATATTTTATTTAACGACGATTGAAGAAGACTTGAGTGTTGACCGTTGACCACTTTTTGGGAGTCCAATAAGTATTAATCCCGCAATTAGAGGTTAACCTTCAATGAAATCGGACGAATCGAATCGAAATTAGCATTTTGTGAAAGTTTCTTTTTCTTTTTTTCGTAAGGGAACAATTGATTGCAATGGAAATCTAAAAATAGATGACAAAATTGGAATCGAAATTTCGACATTGGAATGAAATCACTTGTTCAAAATCGAAAAGTTTCGGATTCAAATAGGTAAGATTCAAAATGTTAATTCGTGAAATACATAATAAATTGATATTAAAAGTGTGAATTTTGAAGAATTAAAAGCATATCGGACATTGAAATCTACTCCCTCCGTTCCTAAATAATTGTCACTTTTCACTTTTCACAAAAATTAAGAAACTCAATAAATATATCTTGATTTTAGAAAAATCATATAAAAATGACTAAAACAACCTTTATTATTTAATGATTTATAAGAGAAAATTAATGAATAGAGTTTCATTAATAAGGTTAAAATAGGAAAAATGCATTTAATGCAGTATTGGAAATCTAAAGTGACAGATAATATGGAACAAAAATATTTTTAAAAAGAGACAGCTATTGTGGAACAGATGAAGTAATATTTATTCCAATTTTGTTCTAAAAAATTCTGAAAATGGAGGTTGGAACTTTTCGGAATTCGAAATGAAATATATATTCTAAAATTGGCTATAGATATTTCAATGATTTAGTTCCCCTTTACACCTTAAATGTAGCTTTTTGACATTTTACAAATTTAATGACATTTATCACCCTCAAAATACAATGAAGTAGTTAGCTATTCATACTTCACGGTTCACTCTCTAGATTAATTTTTAAAATTAACAAGGGTAATTTCATTTTTGTAGTTTTATTTTTCAGATTGCAAGATAATTCAAAAAACAAAAAAAAAAAACCTTAATCCTTCAACCCAATTTTAAAGTTATAAAGTGCAAATATTAAAAATATAAATACATTATTGAATTATTTGAAAATTATATTTTCTCTCTCACAGACTTGTTACAAAACTCTTTACACCAAATTATTTGATACTGGGATCTTTTTACCGTAATTGGTAAAAAATGATAATTTTTTAATTGGAAAAAAAAAAAAAAAAGAGCAATTGAAAAAATTTAATGAAAATTATAATGTGCTTCATTGAGAGTGAACTCAAGACTCCCGCTTACTAAACGGGTGCCTAACCAACTGAGCTATGAAAGCCTGAATATTCAATTTCTTGGTGTAAGTTTATTGAATTAAACTAATTTGGTGAAAAACAGAGAGATATTAATTACACATTCCAGTTTACACCGTGAGAATAAATATTAATTTAAAAGATATAAATGATATTATTTTTATGAATTGTTGAGTGAATGAGTTGTTGCTGATTAAATTGTGAACACATAAATATAAATTTTTAAAATAATTCACTTAATTAGTAAAAAGTAAATATAAAAGGTTAACATGGGGATTAAACACCCGATCTACGTTAATTTTTATGTGATTAATGCAAATATAATATAAATTCAAAATATACTAGCTAAGGTAAAAACATTATTCAAACTAAATAGAGAAAATATATTAAAGTCACTAAAATGCTTTAAAAATATAATAATTTGTAATGTCATATAAAATTATAAAGAATATTGAGGGACAAATAAACTACTATAAAAAAATAGGCTTGATTGTGGGTCGTTTTATTCAACAACCAACCTTTTTCGACTAAAAAATACTGGTGGATAATCAACCATCAATCGACCCATTAAAATTAAACCCCTAATTTCAATCGGACATGTATAATTAGGTCGGTTGAAAGTTGCTAAAATCTTAAGAAATGGATTAACTATGCCCATAAAATCCGAGTCGACTCGATAAAGTCAACAAATCCTTTTTTTTTTGTTACTCGATTAAATGTTTTTGTTGGTCGAATAAGTTTTTTTGCTAGTCCAATAATTGTTCTATTTTCAGCTAAGTTTTTTTGTTAGTCGACTGAACTTTTTATTAATCACTTTTTATTAATCGATTAATTTTATAATTAGTTGACTAAATTCTTACGCACATTCTTAAAAATCAATCGACGAAGTTTTTCAAGTCGACTTAACCGGTTAATCCAAGTCGATTATTTTTTGAACAAACACATGTTAAGTCGAAAAAATTCAAATATAGGCAAAAGTATTTACCAAAACTTATAAATTCGTTTTCGTTTATTTTTGGGGAATAAAAATAAAATAAAATATTAATGTTAAACTGTTAGAGTATATTATATTATTAGATATTATAAGATATTAGAATTCTATTATGATTCGATTACCTAGATTAGTTAGAATTAATTACCTAGTCAAACTCTATTACCTTGCAGTATTTCTTTTCCTATATATATTCCATGTAAATCAACACTATGTATTATTATTTCACTCTTTCTCCGATTCGATTCTATTCCTCGTATAATAACTATTAAATCGGGAAACACATTACATATAAATAAAAACCAAACTCTACGCGTACGATTCACTTCACTCCTTCGCTTGATCTGGATTTTTGGTGAAATTACAGGTAATCAACTTTTGAATTTTGATTTTGATTTTTCCTCGATCCGATCTGTTCATAATCAACGTTGATTTTCCATTAATTATTTTTTGATTTCCCATCGCATTGAGTATTTCTACCGCCTGTGGAAATTTACTGTAATCAACGAATTAACGAATCGAATTTGTAATCCGTTCAAATCGAACCCTACATTGTAATCCTGTTAGATCTGGATCTGCTTCCTGTACCCACATTTATGTTCATGTAGTTATTTTTTTGTGAAATTGAAGAATTTTGTGTGGCGTTTCAGTTGTTGATCGGTGCTCCGGCGCTTTCGTTTTGCGAAAGAATCTTCTTTGATCAGGTTTCTGTTGGTGAAATTTACAGAGGAACAAGATGGTATGTTTTTTTTTGTTTTTAAACTTATTGATGTTAAACTTTTATTTATTTATTTATTTTCGGTTTGTGCTTATTTGTGTTTTTGGGATTATTTTTCGTTGTCGAAAATGCAGGTTGTTCTCGCGGCTTCCATTATAAGTAAATCTGGCAAAGGTGAGCCCCCCCTCGAGGCCTTTTGATTTTCAAAATCTAGTTCTAGTTTTTCATATGTGACTTGGATTCGAGAAGCGGGATAATTTAGATCTTTGCATTTCAGTCAATATATGCGATTTTTATTTCTAGTTAGAGTCGAAACGTAGCAAAGGTTGTATTTTTATGTGAATATAGATATCATCTGAATCCTTTAACACCCACCTTGTCTTCAAAATCGAGAAAAGCGCAGTAGTGTGCTTAGAAACATTGAAAGATGTGCAGTTATAGAGTATCTAGAAGCATGGTATATAAAAATTTGCATGTGATATGACCCTTCACTCTAAACTAGTAACAGACTGCGAACATCGGCATGCGTGTAGTCCCACATAAACTGCCCGTTTGCTTTTATCAGAGAGGTATCGAATTTTTGGAAGTAGATTCATTGAATAGTTTTAGAAAATCAATTGCTCATCTGGTGCTCGTTTCAACCGTATACATTGAATTTCTCATCTGTATGTTGGTTTAAATGGTTTATCCTTTATTTTTTATATTGAACTCATGCAAAATGTAAAACGTGAAAACCAATTTATTTTAAGGTTATTGCACCAAGTGAAGGAAGGACAAACTTTTTCTTGTAACTGTTTCATGGGTTGGTTGCTTGATGCCATTGTAATATTAGAGATATACCTTATCAAAGCATTTGTAGATTGTAATAATCGCACGAGCCTAACCTTTATTGAAGGCGCTTTTATACTTAGAATCTGAAATGCTCTTTTTTGTGTTTTCTCTTATACCATGGAGTTATTTTATGCCCTTTGAATGAATTTGGGTTTGAGTAAGCTTGTCATTATGGTAATTATCAAATGCTTCAGCTATTCTGTTTACGTTGTTATTTTCGGTAACTTTTTATTTAAAAAATGATTTTTTTCGCTATGATCACCATTTATAATTTTATTATCAGCACAGTGTGCATCTTTAATTGTATGATTTTTTTTCATCTGCAGCACTTGTTTCGAGGCAGTTTGTTGACATGTCACGTATAAGAATTGAGGGATACCTTGCAGCTTTCCCCAAATTGGTTGGAATAGGAAAGCAACATACTTACATCGAGACCGAAAATGTCCGATATGTTTATCAGCCGATAGAGTCTCTATACTTGCTTCTTGTTACAAATAAACAGAGCAATATTCTCGAGGATTTGGAGACACTGCGCCTCCTCTCAAAGCTTGTATCCTTTTTTGCCGTTACCAATGAACTATTTCCACTGTTTCACATATTGGTAACATTTTCGCTTGCATGTGCTTACACTTGCTATATTGCATCGGCTATTCCAGAATATGTCTTGGTTGTTGCGTTCTGTTAAAGATAATAGTAGAAAAACAGCATGTCTTCATCGATACACAGTCATATATCTGATATTATGAAGTTATTGACTTCATCTTGCATGGAAATCTTTGAAATCATTTCACTTTCTTATTTCTGTACGATCTGGAATGGTTTCTTTAACCCGCTTAGGTGCCCGAGTACTCTTATTCACTAGATGAAGAGGGCATTGGCAGGACAGCTTTCGAGATTCTTTTTGCATTTGATGAAGTAATCTCACTTGGGCACAAAGAAAACGTCACAGTCGCACAAGTGAAACAGTATGGTGAGATGGAAAGTCACGAGGAAAAATTGCACAAGCTGGTCTTACAAAGCAAGATCAACGAGACCAAGGATGTCATGAAGCGAAAGGCTAGTGAGATTGACAAAAGCAAGGTAATTGATTTTCTGGGGCTGAAATTCGATGCTTAAATTTCCGCCTTTTGCCAGGTCATGTATTGACTAACTGTGTGAAATTTATCCAGATTGAGAAGAATAGAGGTGAGAAGGGAGGATTTATGTCGTTGCAGTCAATGAGTTCAAGAATCGAGAGTGGTTTTGGCAGTGAGAACAGCATATCTAGTACTGGTGGTGGTTTTGGAGGTGGTTCTGGCTTTGGAGTGAGTACTGAAGTGGAATCTTTCGCTTCGAAGCCCAAAGGTTACTCTTTGTTTCTGAATCTTTCTTTGAATTCGGAAGTAAACGTGAAGTATTGATAGTAATTATTTAAATTGCAATGTGTGTGTGTGTGTGTGTGTGTGTGTGTGTGTGTGTGTGTGTGTGTGTGTGTGTGTGTGTGTGTTTCCTTATCTCTTTCGTTCTGGATCGCCATGATTAGGTCGTGCACCAGCATCTGCTTCAGCTCCATCAAAAGGTCTTGGTATGCAGCTAGGAAAAACACAAAGGGCCAACCAATTTTTGGAGTCTCTCAAAGCTGAAGGTGAAGTAATTGTCGAAGATGTGAGACCAACTAGCATCGGTCAAACAAAAGCAGCTGCACCACTGCCGATCGATCCCGTCACATTAACTGTCGAAGAAAAGCTTAACGTAACATTAAGGCGTGACGGTGGTATTGGTAACTTCGATTTGCAGGGTACTCTGTCTCTCCAAATACTTAACCAAGAAGATGGACTCATCCAAGTTCAGGTTCACCACTTCTCTCCCTCCATCCCTGCTTTTTGTCGACACTTTATCTGTAACTTCGATCCAGTTTTTATTTTTTATATTTTTTTTTATATATATTTTAATGTTTATATGCAGATTGAAACTGGTGGTAATCCAGGAATTCTATTCAAAACACACCCGAATATTAACAAGGAACTGTATTCTGGTGAAAATATATTGGGTCTCAAGGATCCAAATCGCCCTTTTCCCGCGGGTCAGGGCGATGGCGTTAGCTTGTTGAAGTGGAGAATGCAAAGTGCCGATGAGTCCCTTGTTCCATTGTCAAGTGAGACTTTTCTTTTCTCGTACATAAAAAAAAAGACAAATATATGTGGTTTTGTAAGTAATCGAACTTCATGTATGTATTTTCTGTTCTTGTTTCTGCAGTTAATTGCTGGCCTTCTGTTTCGGGGAATGAAACCTACGTGAATCTGGAGTACGAAGCTTCGTCAATGTTTGTTTTAAAAAATGTTGTGATTTCGATTCCTCTTCCAGCTCTTAGAGAGGCACCCAAAGTACAACAAATAGACGGGGAATGGCGGTAAGTGTTCATTTCAATTTATTTATTTACTTTTTAGTTTTTATTATTTATAACCGAACCTGGTACAAACATCTCGATGATTTTAATTGCAGGTACGATTCAAGAAACTCGATTCTGGAGTGGTCGATTGTGCTCATTGATAACTCGAACTGCAGGTATAGCTTTGTAGTGAAGCTGTTCCGTTTCCATCTGCCAAACGAGACTTCTTATTTGATTTCTCAATTAACGCTGACATTCTTTTTGCAGTGGATCGATGGAGTTTGTTATTCCTGCAGTAGATACATCGGATCTTTTCCCGATTTCTGTGAGCTTTACTTCTACAAGCACTTTCAGCGATCTAAAGGTTATCTTTCCGTCCATTACAATGCACCGTCGTTATTTATTCTTCTGTCTGATATTTAATTTTCTCTTTTCGATTTTCCGATTAAAAATGGTGGCGACTTGTTTCGATTTTTTGTAGGTGGTTACGATTTTGCCACTGAAAGGAGGCAACCCGCCAAAGTTTTCGCAGAGAACTCTGCTATCTACAGAAACCTATCAAGTTGTTTGATTATTGGGATTTGCCTCTCTCATAATCTTGAACAATCTAATTTTGCTGCATTTTGAATTCTTTCTCTTTCATTTTAATTTTATTTTTTACTTTTATTTTATAAATAAATAATAGGTAAGTCTTTGCTGGTCAGACATTTTTTATTTTACATGTGAAGGGATTAAGATTACATCTTATATATATACATTTAAAACATTTTATTGTAGTTCAATCTTACTAATGAGATTCTTGACTCGATAAAGTTGCGTTTCGGTTTCGGTTTCGGTGTTTCCTTCTTCCATGGGATATTATTTGTTCATGTCCCAATCGAGATTAAAATATAACCTCTCCCTGTGTAAGATTGATTTTTCTACATAATTGTTTTTCTTTTTCTAATTACTAGTAATTCACCCGTGCGATGCACGGATCAACTTTTTTTAGAAAAAAAGTTTTGGATAAAATAAAACGAACGAAAAATTTGACAGTTGATTTACATGCAAATATTACCAAAAAAATGTTTTAATGAATCAAAATATACATTTATTTGTAATTTACCTTCATATTCGCTGAAAATCTTTTGTGCACACAATATTGCTCGTAATTTAGTTATATCGCCCGATTCTGAATTGATAAATAAATTTATTTCAAATCTACTTTTAACTCTAGACATTGCGGCGTACAATTGCCTATGCCACCCTAATATTAACACTAATATTACTAACAACAACCACTACTGCTACTAATATTAAAACCAACATTGATAGTACTAAAACAATACTAATATTAATACTAAAACCAACACTAATAATACTAATATTAATACCAATCCCAATATTAATACGATGATTAATGTTAATATTAATACTAATATTAATATCAACACTACTATTAACCAACCCTCATTAGGAGAGTATGGTACCTAGCATTTACCAATGGGGTAAAGGTCTAGGCTTCGAGTCGCCCCCTCCCCTACTTCCCCTTGTAATGGACTTGAATTTACTCAAAAAAAAAAAAATAATAAAAATAAAAATCAACACTACTATTAATAATAATACGCCAATTCTAATACCAATATTTAATGTTTAAACTAATACACCAATACTAATACGAACATTAATACTCATACTAATACTAATATTAATACTAAAGACTAATGCTAATGCTAATGCTAATACGCCAAGACAAATATGAATGCTAATACGCCAAGACTAATATGACTTCGAATCCTAATAATAATATTAATAATGATAATAATAATAATGATAATAACTATGATAATAATACTGAAATTGATATCGATACTGATACTGATACTACTACTGATATTAATATTGATACTAATACTAATACACATACTAATACATATACACATATCGATACCGATATTCATACTGATACCGATACTGATACTGATACTAATACTAATATCAATACTAATACCTATATTAATATTTATACCAATAGTCATACCAATACTCATACAGATATTGATACTTATACTTATACTCATACTCATACTCATACTCATACTCATACTCATACTTATATTGAGACTGATGTTGTTATTGGTAATGATACTAATTCTGATAGTGATACTGATATTGATAATACTGATACCGATATTAATACTAATATCATACTAATACTAATATTAATATTTATACTAATACTAATAATAATATTAATATTAATATTGATACTAATACTAATACTGATACTGATACTGATAGTGATACTGATGCTAATACTATTCTAATACTAATACAACGATAAATATTAATACTAATACTAATACATTGTTCTAGTACTTCACCCGTGCGTTGCACGGGTTATTCATCGTAAAAATAAATATTTTATTTTAAAAAAAAAAGTCCTCGAAATAGTAAGATCAATGATATGCAATACAAATTAGTAGAAAGTAAAAGAAAATAAAAAAATTTATTCTATATTGTGTAAGTAATGAATACCAGTACCAGTACCAGTACCAATATGAATACAAATACCAATACTATTACCGTTATCATTACCATCACCAATATCAATACCATTACTATGACCATTACCATTGCAGTTACCGTCACCAATACCAATACCATTACCATTTCCATTACTAATGCTAAAACTAATACTAATATGATAATAATACTATTATTATTAGTGTTAGTAATTCTAATGTTATTGCTAATCCTAATCCTGGTATTAACTCTAATCTTAATTCTAATACTAATCTCAATCATTGTTCTAATCCAAATTGTAATCCTAATGGTAATGCCAATCTTAATCTTAACACTAATTTTAATCATAATCTTAATCCTAATAATAATACGAATCATAATTCTAATCCCTATAGAAATGCAAATATGCTAATGCTAACGGTAATCTTAATACCAATCTTTATATGCTAATGCTAATGGTAATGCAAATCCTAATTCTAATTATAATTATAATCATAATCATAATGCCGATATTAATACTAATTCTAATTATAATGCTAATTTGAATACTAATATTCATAATAATATCAATTCTAATATATATGTTAATACTAATTCTAATCTTAATCATAATACTAAGTAATACTAATACTAATATGGACCATAATCATAATGCTAATATTCATACTAATATGCATATTGATATTCATACTAATATTAATCGTAATATGCTAACGATAATGTTAATGCTAATCATAATCTTAATCCTAATGCTAATACAAATATTAGTATTAATAATAATACTAAACTAATACTTATATGTTAATTCTAATGCCAATACTAATGTTAATCCTAATATACTAATGCTAATGTTAATCCAAATATACTAATTCTAATCTTAATATACCAATGCTAATTATAATTCTAATTCTACTGCTACTGCTAATGGTAATGCTACTACTAATACTGATGCAACTCAAATAATGATACTAATATAATTATGACCGAAAATGAAGGGTAAATAAAAAGTAATTATATGGAAATTATTAAACAAAAAATCATTACAAAAACAATAATAAACCATCTACCAATTATTACCAATAATAGATTTTTCTACCCCTTTAGATTTTGGAATAATCTAAGAAACTATAAAAAATATAGTTGAAAACATTATTGATTTAGTTTGATGGAAGTAATTTGAATGAAGATTATGAGGAGTAATTAAAATTAGGTCATAAAGCTATCCAAAATTTTAGTAATTAATTTCATATATAAAAACGAATTGCATAAAATTAGGGGATATGTATCCAACTAATAAAAATTTATAGCGATGAAACATGCGTAGTGCCAGGAGTTGAAAAATGCGTACAAAAAAAGGTTTTACTTGATATTTTAATATTTTATTTAAATTAAGCTTGAAACTGGATCTAATTTTATAAAATATTGGATCCTACAACTATAAATCTCATTTCAATAAAAAAAACATTAAAATTTAAAAGAAACGTGAGGAATATTAATGATTTGTATTTGGATCGAGTGCGTGTTGAGGAAAAAAAATGGAACAAAAGAAGGTGGAGGTTCGAGTGCTGAAAATTACATATAATTATTAACACTAGAAGACAATTACATATGATAATATGATGTAGATCATCATATGAAGTAGTTGGATCAAGGGCAATCACATTGTTGTGGGAAATTATATAGCATGGATTATTACGTAATTATGGAAATATTTTAAATTTTCAAAATTTGAATTCTAAAATGAGTGACAATCTAAAATTTTGAAATCATTGATTATATAATGAAATGATTTGATTTGAATTGATTTGGAAATAGTTAATCATGGCAATTAATAAATATGTATTAAGTTAATTTGAAAATAATTAATTTTGATTGACAACTAATTGAACCACCTAATCCGAGAGAATTTAAGCCACAATAAAAGACATAATTTATCCTATTTTATGATGCATATAATATGGGAAAAAATATAATTATGAAAAAATTTAAAAATTGTCATGATTTGATATATACAAATAATCTTGAACAAAAATTAAAAAATAAAGTTGATTTGAATGAATCATATCTTAAAATAGAGATAATTGATTATATATATATATATATATATATATATATATATATATATATATATATATATATATATATATATATATATATATATATATATATATATATATATATATATATATATATATATATATATATATATATATATATATATATATATATATATATATATATATATATATATATATATCTATAT